TAATAAATATAAAAAGCAAGCTATTTTCTTTTATTGTCTTAACCAATAATTCCTTGTTCAGGACAGAAAGAACCTAGAAACCACCTCTAGAAGCAGAGTCTAGCACCCCAAATCCCAGAAATACTGTCACTTCAGATGTATATCACCATTCCATGCATTTGGCTTCCTTTTAATGATATCTTTTCAGCAACCATACCTTTCTTTAAATATAAAAAGCAAGCTATTTTCTTTTATTGTCTTAACCAATAATTCCTTGTTCAGGACAGAAAGAACCTAGAAACCACCTCTAGAAGCAGAGTCTAGCACCCCAAATCCCAGAAATACTGTCACTTCAGATGTATATCACCATTCCATGCATTTGGCTTCCTTTTAATGATATCTTTTCAGCAACCATACCTTTCTTGGTCCCATCTTTACATATGCTTTTCCTAATAGCACAATCAGCTGTGAATTAATCAATGAAATAATCCACTGATAAGTACAGTGCCCCTATGATGCAATCACTTTCCCAAAATATCATCTTTGGACATTTATGTTTGGGGGACATGTGAGATCTAAGCTATACCAGGGTGGATGCTCCGTTTCCCCAGTGTGTTATTGTATTCACCTTCCTAGTAGTAAGAAAATACATAAATGGGATATAAGGCTAATTCTTTACTGGATATGTTTTTTTTCTCCCTCCGGTGATTTATTAAGACCAACACGGGAGGGAAGGATGGAGCCCAGCCCCTAGACACCGAACTTCACCCCTGGCCCCGCCTGCCGTACTCCACAGACACCAGCCAGTTCGCTGTGCCACATTAGCGAATCCGGGACCCAGAGCCAGGCGGAGGTCAGGAGGGGTCCACGACGCCTTCCTCACACAGCATGCTAGATATGATTTTTAATGTCATATAGGTAACTCAAATTCAACATGTCAACATGTCCCAAGTAAGACTGGTCACCCTCAACCTGTATCTTCTGTGCATATTTATTTATTTACTGCTACTATTGATTTAGATTCAAGACAAAACCTGAGAGGCCGTTTAAATGCTTTAGTTTACCTCAACCTCCAGATGAAATACCAAATAGTGTTTGTTCATTTCCCCCCTCATTCTTTCTATTAACGTTCTCCCTCTCTACATCTACCTCCAGTATTCTAGCACAGACTAGCATCATCTCCTTCTTGGAAACCCTACCAGGTCCAGCTAATATCTAAGGAAATTAGTCTTACACAATGGGCCTCTGGATGTATAAGCCTAAATTGTAGATGCTCTTTTACTTTGGTTTGATAGTATTTTTAATTCCTCATTTTTTTTTGCATTTGTTTCAGAATGTACTTGCTACTCTGACTGAAAATTTAAATAACTGAGCCACAGAGGCTTAGAAAAAAAAGGACCAATATTAGGTGAATATCAGATTGGTCAAGAGGACAGAATTTGATGACCCACTGTTGGCAAGGTTATTGTAAAGAAGGTAAACATACCTTATTTATAGGAGGTAAAATTGGTAGGAATTCTCTGGAGGTTGATTTGGTAACAGCTATTTGATATAAAATGTACTTATTTTTCCAGAAATTCCATTTCTAGGAATTTATGCTGCAGATACAATTTCACATCTGTGTGAAAATGCATTTACCTAGATAATCACTGGAGAATATACAAAGAGAAAATAAGCACTAACAACAATGGACATTAGAGATAGAATGAATGAATATATTCCAATCATACAGTGGGATACTATGCATTGAAATGATTTAGCTAGTTCTAGCTAAGAAATAATGCTAGGGCTTTTGTCATTAAAGGGCCAGAGATATGCACAATTCATGCTGTCGTATGTATGCAAATCACACACACACACACACATATATATATATATATATTTATTTAGTTATGTATAAACTGTCTCTAAATAGTTACACACAAAAATATATGGCTGATATATGGCAAGAGATTAGGATGATAGTGTGTGAAACTTAGTTTTCACTATACATTTTTAATAACGTATGATTTATTTTTGTTATGCACATACACTACTTCAAGTTAATATAAACAAAAGCAAAAAACAAGGAATAAGACTTGATAGACATAGTTCAAAGTGTCAGAAATAACTATATATGTAAAATGATATACATCTATGCCTTCTCATTATATTGAAATTAGCAAACACATTGCACATGTACTTACAATTACTTATACATTTGTGCAAAAGCAAAAAAAATTAATTAGTTAAAAATAAAGACAACTAACCTTTATAACTTATACCAGGGTGTTCGTAGGTGAAATATTTATGGGATCTGAAGAGAAACCAGAGTATTGCCAAGATATTTTTAAATGACGTGTTCAAGATGTTGCTTAATTCAACCTATAAACATGTTTTCTTCTCAAAACCAAATGTACAAAGTAATGTGTGCAAGGTTGATGTTGCAGCTTTTCTCTCCTGGAAAATTGTGACTTTCATAAATACATTTCTAGGACATTTACAAAAATAAAGCATATATTTAACTATTCAAAAACTTTTTAGTCTTGCACTTAATTACTGAGAAGCTGAGCACATTTTTTGGTGCAACTAATCCCTTAATCATAATTAATCTGCATGAAAGAATTATCTATATATTCAGTTCAAAATCATCAACAACACTTAACTCTGAGCACAAGTGCTAGCCTTTCACTGTAAATGTTTACCTGGATAGCATTACCTGAATTTTAAAGAAATGTTTTCTCCAAAAAATGTTAAATACCAGTTTGAATTAGCTCTGAAAATCTGTAGCATACATGCTACCTAGGAAAACAGGCGCTTATACAGCTGCTTTAATCAAGAAATGCTGAGAGTCTTGGAATAATCATTCTCAAGTTCTATCCAATAATCAAAATTGTCAATTAAAGTCATGGACAGCATTGTAAAATTCTTTAACAAGAGAATGTATTTTTAAAAAAATTTATGTACCCATAAAGTACTGAGTTCTGAACATTCAAACAAAATGTACACCAAATTTTGGCAATCTAGAACTTGAACTACGTGAGGGCTATAAACAATGGGTTGTTCCTTACACCAACCTCAATAGAATTTCTTAGCACACATTTAAAAAAAAATCCCATCCAACTAAAATGTGTAAAAGATTTGAATATGCAGTGGCAATACTGGTAATACGAAAGTACTAAATTGTAGTGATATGAAAGGCCATATTAGTCTAAAGAAAGAGCATATATGAATATCTCAAAATTATTTAAGAAGCGAAAACACAGTGCTTTGGGGGAAGATTCAAAAAAGATCTTTAAAGTCCCCCCCACCCTTGTACTGGGGGAATTGAATCTAGGCCTTTCACACTGAGCTACATCCACAATTCTTTAATTTTAAAACAGGGTCTTTTTAAATTGTTACATTGCCCAGGACTGGAATTTGGGGTCTTCTTGCCTCGATTCCTAGAGTTATGGGATTATAGACCTTTACCACCATGCTTGAATTTAAAGTCAAAATTTTAACTCCAAAAGGACCACCTTTGTTCC